TCTCTCTCTCTCTCTCTCTCTCTCTCTCTCTCTCTCTCTCTCTGATGTTGTTTCCTTGGGAAAAGCATTTAACATAAAATTCATTGGCTTGGTAATATCAGAGTAGGCCTTAAATTTGGAGCACCCGTCTCTTAAGATGACCTTATAATATTGCAATGAGAGTTAGATTACAATTTTTGCACCTTTTGTTGTATTTATTAATTATTTTGAAATGTATTTTTTTCTTTTTATTTGTTGACCTATTTATTTATTTTTTAAATTTTTTTGGGGGTGTATTTATTCATTTTTATGTGTTTATTTATATATTTGTTTATTTAACTATTTATTGTTTCATACTGACTCACCTGTTGAAAGCCTTATTGCACACATGACACACGTAAGGTTTGTGTGTTGTGTGTGTGAGTCTGTGACGTGTCAGGTTCCCCGGCTGTCGAAACGCTCGGCCACACACCTCGCACTTGAACGGTTTGTCGCCTGTGTGGATTCGCTGGGGAGAGGAAGGGAGTTGTTGTTGTTTTCACAATTGTGGTTGTTGTTACGGTTGCTGGTGTTGCAGTTGTTGTTGTTACTGTTATTGTTGTTACTGTTGTTGTTGTTGTTGTTACTGTTGTTATTGTTACTGTTGTTATTGTTACTGTTGTTATTGTTACTGTTGTTATTGTTACTGTTGTTGTTATTGTTGTTGTTGCTTTTGTTATTGTTGTTGTTGACATTGCTGTTGCAGTAATCACTTTTATTTGCCAGATCATTACCATCATCATCTTTATCATCCTCACTAACATGAATAACGCCAATTGCAGTTAGATTTTTTTTTTTTTTAAACATTCGTTGTGAAAGCAACATACAGAACGATTCATGAAAATTGATAACTCAACAAACATCTTTTTTTCCCCTCATCTAAAGGTTATTGACTTTTGAACGGCTTTTAATCTTCTTAGATACAGAATAATGTCCGAAACAGTTGATTGCCCTATGTGTGAGATAGTTTACGGATGGACGAAAGAGCAAACAGTCATAAAGCTTAAGACACCGAAACAACAGAACCAAAAATAACAACATCGTGAGCATCAGTATAACAACAAACGCAACAGCAACCACAGTACATCAAATTAAACAATGAAAAACAACAGAAAAGCATACAAGCAATGAAATTGACAATTTGCAACAAAAACATGAATTAAAAACAACGGTAAGAATATCAGTAGTAAAACTCCTTCAATAACAACATTAGCAGCGATAACGGCAACAATAAAATAAATGACAACATTAGCTACAACAACAACAACAACAACAACAACAGCAACAACAACAACAACAGCAACAACAACAACAACAACAACAACAACGTCAAAGCTAACAATAAAATCAACAGAAACAGTGCAAGTACACCAAACATCTGTTTGCGAACTAAAGCTTCTCTTCAAAAGACTTCAACTTCACACAGACTATGACAAAATTACGGCTTTGGGGTTGTTATAGTTCTATTCACCAAGGACACTGTTGACACCGTGCGCCTTAAGTGCACTCTCTTCAAGTCCACCTCTCTTTCCTCCTTTCCTCCTTTCCTCCCCTCTTTTTCTCTTTTCAAATCAATTACGTCAGTCAGTCCACCGGAAACGCCGCCATGTTTGTTCTGGAAACGCCATAGAGGGGAACGCAGTTGTTGCTAAGGTCGCAGCCCACACAATATTGAAACTCCTATCGAAGAAATGTTTGCTCTCTAGAGGGAAAGCGGCTCACATCCCAGAACGTCTAGGCGGAAGTGACCATTTCGGTTCCATCCCCAATCGTCGTTTGTTTTACCACACCCACGCCCACACGCAATAAAGACCCAATAAAGGGCATTCACATATTGTCCCAACTCACACGTCTATATTTTGCATTAACCCAAACAGGTGAGTATAGTAGAGACTAAATGTAGGACCTTTGTGAGTCTCGAGAGTAGGGCACATACGGTTGAGTGACCTTCTACCGTTAAAGTTCGCAAATTATTCTCTGGATCTATGAAAAGGAAATCGAAACCTGTCTCTTTCAGAGGGTACTATGGATTCCGCTCACGTTGTTGCCCGTCTAAACTTTGTCAATGTGTGCACAAACATTTTTTTAGAAAAAGGATGAAATGATATGACGGTGAACCATAATTTTGCCAACCCGTTAGCCCTGCAGGGTAATGGGTTAAGGAGGTGTCAACATGGAACGGTTGGAGCGGTAATGGTTTCTAAATTGGATGTTCACGCACGCGCGTGAAAATGGAGGTGTTTGATTTCCTCGCCTGGGACTAAATCGCTGTCTGATAAAGCAATCAAACGATGCTTGAGCTGACATTTTTTGGCACAGACCTTGTGTCACTGTTGTGGAGCAGATTGTTTGTGTCTCAGCCTGGTGGAATAATGCCATCATCAATTTTGGAATATAAACGAGAAGTTATTGCTATCAAATTAAAGCTTTTTTTTTTCTTGAACTTACATATAAGTCGAGATATTACGTGGAATTTAAAAAGGTAGGGGTTGCTGGAGAAAATAGTTAGAAAACGGCGGCCAAAGTAGGGCGACATTAAAAGCTGAATACTCGTACTCATTCTCTAAATTTACATAGTATTATTTGCTTTAAATTTTAACAACCATTTCCATTACAATGTATCCCAAATTGTAATATCCAATGGATGGAGGCGGTTTCTATCCTAAAAGAAAATTCAATAAAAATCCCTCCAAAAGTGGAAAAACATATTTTGTTCGTTTCTTAATATTTGACGAGCTACTGATTCCACCTCGATGACCATACCAAAGCATCCGCCGGGTACCAATTGAGAAAAATAAAAAAAGAGTGTTTATATACCAAACAATAAAAAATCAAATCTTTTCTACCTATATTTTCTCAAAAAACCATGGTAAAGGCCTTTAAGATTTTTTTTAGCGGGCGAAAATATGCGTCGCGATACAGTAGAATCAGGCGCTCGTAATTTTTTTTTGAATTATAGATATCTTCTTAAAGCTTGTCCGTTTGCCCTTCTTCCGATGAAAAAATGCCCATCTATCTTGAATCGAAGTCGAGATATTTTTCGATCGAAGAGGTGGAGGTCGCTTTTGTCAGAAGTAAAATAAGTGAGAAAATGGCAACACCAAAGTTTGGTTTCTTCCAAAGCCTTGATCGTCCTTGGATACATTTTTTTTCTCCATATTTGACTAACGTTGCGTTCATATGACCTTAGCAGTTGCGAGCACCGTAAAACCCTATACTACTACTACTACTGACTAACGTAGATAATGGATATAAAAAGTGTTACGCCCCCCCCCCAAAAAAAAAAGAAAACGAATAAAAATTGCCAAAGGGGTGGAAAAATAATAATGTATCGGCTTCTTCGAATTCATTGTTTTGACGAGCGTCTGTGTTCACCACGAAGCGTCTCATGTAACATTGCTGCCTACCTTGTGAGTGACGAGAGTATTGCTTCTGGAGAAAGCCTTTTGGCAGACGTCACACTTGTACTTCTTCACGGGTGGCGGTTTTTCCACGGACGGTCTGCGGATCCCCAGGCCCCCCAGACCCCCCAGGCCTAGGAAGGCCGGATGAAACACCCCGTTCACAGGGCTTGCCAGAGGGCTGAAATATAGGAGGAAGGAAGAAAGAAAATGTCAAAATAATTAATAAATGACTTACTGGAGCTTCATTAATAAACACTATCAAACTAACAAGATCTTTTGCTGTGTATAGCGAGGCACCCATTCTCACCTGTGGTAAGTGACAAAATTCGAATAAAGTGTCTTGCATAAGGAAAAGCCAAATTGGGCCCTTGACGGGATTCCAACCAACCCATGACCTTACGATTCAACGAACAGAAATAACGTTGAATGAGAAAAGTGCAAAGAAAACTGGAGAGATTTTTAATGAAATTATTTGATTGGAAAACTTTAAAAAGTTACAGGACTCCTCCCTCCCCC